TTTTTTATAATTTTCAATTTTTTAGTCCCCTGCATTTTTCTTGTTCTACAGCACCTGGTTATCAATTATTTTCAAATGCTTAACATATGAGATGTGTCCTGCAATAAGATGTCATATGGGATTTAACATTTTGATTCTTCTTTCCATTTACAAATATTAAATTTTAGTTAAAGCAACGATACACTTATCCTTCACACTAACTATTTTATTTCATGGATTTAAGTCACTTCAGTGTTGGAGCAGTACCTCTAAACATTGCAGAAATCATGATCACAAAATAGAAAAATATTGATTTTTTTCACAGATTCTCAGTCTTCATTCATTATTGTACATTTAAAAATGTGAAAAGATGAATTAGATGATTTTTAAGTAAAAAGGGCGATTTTAGCCTGTGTCATTCTAGCACTTTGTCTGGTATATACCCAAATACCGGATTTAGTGTAGTGCTCCAAATCTTTCTTATTCTCTTATTTCAAAGTTAAACTAATGTAATTAGAAGAAACATCAATTAATTATGACAGCACATCAACTATTTACCTTAACAATTACTGTATAAATGAGTCCAATACCAGCAATTGAGGCCAATATGCCAACAAAGAGGTAGGTGTCCCTGTTGAACTTAAAATCAACAGGTTTAGGGTACAGTATAGCCCTCACAAGTTCCCCTTTAGATGTCAGAAAACCTGAAATAACATAGTAAAATACCAATGTAACATTCAGCTTATAATTTGTATAATATTCAAAATTATCCACTTGAAACAGTAAATAAGAGTTGTCTTTGGACCAGCGTGCTCGACTTTTCTCAGTGGTTAATAGAAAAATCAAAGCCTGGATAATGAAGAATTTTCTAATTCCTTCCAAATCCATATTTGAGTTATGAGCATTGTAAAGTGACCTCCTATAATGCTCTCAATTAAGTGTGTGCAATTTCGGATGTCCTTTTTGGGTTCCTTTAATCTCAATTTTGACTTGATTGAAATAATTACAAAATCCAATGTGTGCCCTGTATTCTGATGTTGGGTGTGATTAGTTACAAAAATTTAAAATAAAACAAAAACATAATTACAATCAAATCGTCATTCAATAAAAGTTATAATATCTCACTACAGGCAAAAACATATTTCCTAGTGCATATATCTAATACAGCTTGAACAACATGATCTTTCCTATCAAACTATGTATAAACATAGTGTAGCTTAGCCTTACCTGTCCTGACAACGACAGCTCGTACTTTCTGGTTACCATAGTAACGTGTCTGTATAACTTGTGTACCACAGAACAAAGTGTGTTTACTGTGTTCTTTCATGTTAAACACGGTGTTTCTAGATGACGATGAATGTCTAGTGTCAGGCAGTGGGGTCTTTGTAACAGGAACACTCTCACCTGTAAACAATGAACACATTTTACACTGTTACATGAACTTCTTCAAATTTTACATGGTAACATGAACTATACCAACTTGTATAACTAAACATAGGACAACAATTAAAAATATTTGTGAAAATTTGGTTTTACAACAACTTTTTAATGTACAGTAGAACATTAATGTGTCAAACGTCGATTAATCTATTTTCTTGATGTGTGGAGGAAAAACGAAAGTCCTGGTTTTTTCCCTCTATATAATTTCTAATACAACCTATATACAAGTCGAATTTTTATGAGTCAAATTTTCAGATGTTTCGAAGTTTTTAAGTCGTCCATTAAAAAACATTCATTCTTAAAACAAACAGTTCCTGCAGCTTTTTGCCAGTTTACTTTTGTTTTCATTGCTGTTGGATCTCAAATTTCTAGAACTATTACCTTAACACTTAGCCTGGTGAATTTATTTACTGGTCACAGATTTGCCCTTCTTAAATTTCAAGTATTCCATTCAAAGTAACAGACTTAAATATCAAAGCACTAAAATTATAAAAAATGAGCTACCAACAATATATAGCCTGGCCAGACTGCAAATTTAACTGTATAGGCCAAACACTATCCGTTCCAGCAGTTACAGACCCATTATGCTTCAGAAATACTTCTATTCGTATTCCTCAAAAAGCTTTTTTTTTTATAAATTTTTTTGTGTACTTTTAAAGACTTCAAAAAGCTACTAATTGGCCAATTGTCTTTTCACCTGTTGCTTTTTTTTCAAGCTTCTAACATGCTCTAAAACCATTATTTAAATGTTATAACAATCATGATCACTCTTTTTCAAAAGAAATATGAGTTTCTTCATTTCCGAGACATAATGTGCCTTTAATATTTTTACCTGTAAGCATGCTCTCATTCACGATACAGTTACCACTGATGAGTACAGCATCACACTGCATCACACAGCCATGATGTGGTACCTCTATAACATCTCCAGGTACCAAGTCTTCTGATGGTATATCCTCATACACTATCAATATAACATGTAAATCAGATCAAACCTGGGTACAAAGCATGTGTTCCAGCCTAAACAACTATTTGTTACCTGATTGTTGACGATAAAGTTTCACTGAAGTCTTAAGAATGAAACATAAAATTCATAAAACATTTTATAAAAATATTAAAAACAATTCAACTACTTCAATTCATCAATATAAAACAGTGCAAAAACATCATACCATCGTTTCCCCTGCATACTGTAACAATGGTGGAGGTCTGTATGGTGTTCCTTAACGCCCTCTGCATCTATAATATATAACACATGGTATTTTAATATTTTTTATGTTTCAACTTATTTTTAGTTGTTTTTTTACAACACCAGAATTTTCTGTTTTGTCTGGCTTTAAGTCAAACAAACACTGTAAAGATCATATTGCAATTTTCTAACATTAACCGAGGAGGACCACATTGGGAGCACCTTCATGCAGTATTTCAGGTCATAAATGGGCACCTCTAGTACAACAACCAACCTAGTATAAGATGCTTGATATCTTTCTAAGATGAAACATACAAAGCCCTTGACAGCATTCTATAGTTATATGTTTTTAGTATATAAAATGTGAACTAACCTTTCTGGTTAAGTAGATGTACTAAATAAAATGCCAAATAACCTCTGGTTTGGAAACACTATACATTTAATGGGAACTAATCATTCTGGTTTGAAAGATCTATATATAGAATCTGGCCTTTTTTTCTTTGGTTAAACTATATTTAGGATGTGAACTAACCTTTCTGGTTTTGTAGATTTATATATAGAATATGGTCTAACCTACTGGCTTTGTAAATCTATATATAGAATGTGGTCTTACCTTTCTGGTTTGGCAGATCTATATATAGAAAGTGGACTAACCTGGTTTGGTAGACATGTATATGGAATGAGGTCTTACCTTTCTAGTTTGGTAGATCTATGTTTGCTTGATCTATATAATTATAGAATGTGGACCGATCATTTTATTTGACATATAGAACGTGGACTAACTAACCTTTCTGGTTTGGTAGATGGATGTAGACAATGATATCACAGATATAATAATGATGCATGAAGCGTAGTAATAATACTCATCGGCAAACCATACGCTCACACTAAACACTTGGAACACATAGAATGGTGATAATGCCTGAAATATAAATATGTGCAATGAATAGTCTTTACCGCGATATTAAGTATATTGTCATAATCAGTGTTAAGTTGCCGGGCAATATTCAATGATTAGTTATGAATGCAAGAAGACCTAAACATTATTTTTGGCTTCCATGTAGAACTGAGAACTTTCAGTCCGTAAATTCACCATGATTCTGTGTAGTGATCTTAAAGCAGCATGCCTCAATATTTATGCTAATTTACATGAAAATTTTGAAATGTATTTAAAATAAAAGCTAAATACTGCAAAGTGAATAAAGTAATTAATTTCCACATTGCAACTGGCAAATACAATCCTCGTAAACTACCAAAACGAAGCGAAAAATATGCAAAAATAACCCTTAACATGTTAGTCACACACTGACAAATACATTATACTGCAACATTCGGTCTCCATTGTTCTGCTTAGAGTAAGATGGCCAACTATCCCTATTCTGTCATGCAGGACAGATGACAGAGAAGTGATCTTTATATCTGGCCACTACTCAGTACCAGTCAGTAACAGGCGACACAAAAAGGCAGAATCAAAAACCTTACATGTATGTTATCAATGTATGAGTAGCGGCATGGCCGAGTGGTTTATTCATTGTACTAGTAATTTAAGGATTGCTGGCTGCATTAGCTATGTGGCAAGCAGTTGTTTTTTCCCTGTGTTAGAAACTATACACACATTGCTAAGTAATGGTTGTTTCCAGGAATGGAGTGTATCAATAAGCTGATAGCTTCGTTTATATTCAGACTAAAACAGATGTGTATACACAAAACCAATCTATGTAAGTTTCATACAAAAGACTCACCTCTTTAAAAAGTAATGATAGAATTGGTGTGACATGTACAGCTATACTGTTAGACCCATATAATACTCTCCTGAAATTACAAATCTAAAACTAAAATTGCAAATGAATAAACCTACCTGAATGCTTCTTTTAAAGGAGCATATATAAATTTTACAAATTTATCTTTTCTATTGTAAAAAAAACCCTAAAATTTATAGCATCATAAATTTGAAATTGCAAATCTACTGAATAAGTTCAGCAAAATCTTAAGCACTGAATATCATAAGTGTAAAATAATATGGAGATTAACCATTTCATTATCCATAAGCGTTAGATGAACAAGGGATACGCAAAATGTAACAAGCACGAAATAGAAAATAAACTGTTCACTGTTAATTTCAACATCAAAAGTAACATTCAAATATGTATACATACATATCCTTCCTACAAAAGGTTAGCAAACAAAATTTGATAATTTTGATAATGTAATTCAATGAACTGATATCCCCAACTGAACAATCAAATTCACTTGATGAAAAAAATGTGGTATCTTTTCTTATTATGATACAAAGCCCAGTGAGTGTCAGTCAATAATGTTTTCATCAGTTTTTAAATTGTAAATGAAGGCGTGGACTCCCCCTCCCTCCTCTATCTTAATATCTAAAAATAAAAAAGAATAAAAAATGCTTTTTTTTTATCACTCACATTTATCAAATTAAAGATTTAAATTCAAGTTATACTTTACATTTTTTTTTTCACAACTACATTTAAGTATAAACATTACAGTCAGCTCTTTTCAGGGGAAGGCCCTCAATAATATTGTTGTAACTTTTGGAATACCAGCTCTTTTGTATATTTATATTAATATATTTATGTTTGATTATGCATCCTTGTGTATAATTTTATGTATTTGTATATAATGTATATACTTGATAAAATATGCTAAAACTTAATAAAACTTCACCTTTTTCTTTGGTGTTCATAGCTTAACCCTTTGGCCTCATGGAAATATGAGCATGTATTGTTAACTTCCAAACCCCTGAAATACACAAGACACATCACATTAAAATCATAGATGTTACAAAATCTCTGATATTTATATAAACAACAATTACCATGGTAACAAACACCTTTAATGTCATAACTCATTAATCATTATCATGCTGGAACCATGCACGATTAACCATTAATGTAACAAGTCTGTCTGACCTGGCTCTATATTGTCGGAAGATCCATTTTTTTTTTTTTGTATTCTGATAATGAATTCCCTTATATTTTGAATGGACTGTTTCATATTAAAAGCAGGGCAAATTCATTACATAAATTCAGCAGGTTACAGGTTATGAGACTTGATTTTTATTTACAAATTAAATACATTAAAATACAATAAGGATGTTTAAAATGGAACTTTGTTTTCTTTTTTAACTCAAAGTCTGATCAGGATCCATGCTGTTCTCTTGGTCTGGATCCACACTGATCCACACTGATCGCAAACGCACTGTTGGGTTTTGTCATGGCGTGGCTCATATCTCAGTGGTCTGTCCATCTTACTTGCTCTCCTTAATTACCAATGTCTCTGAATGACTAACTACTAATCTCACATGATTTCTTAGTCAGTGGTGAAATGACAAAATGACCATTAAATTTCACTCATTGTCCGAGATAAACTACACCGTGTATATCAAGTAACGCAGGATTGTGCAAATTATGCAGGCAATTGTGCAAAAGTAACAAAGAATTGTGCAATTTAGTGGCTAAAACAATCACGGTGATATGTAAATGAACCAATATTTATTATTGTACACCAAAAAGCAAGAATGTATTCAAATATGGTATTGTTATCATTTTGAGTTCATTTAAGTATGAACAATATGTCTTATCTTGACATAAAGAAACAAAGTTAAATATTGAAAATTAGTATGGTCGGTTAAACATATAACAGGGTTTTGAGGTCCCGGTATAAACGGTTACCATTTTTTCTAACCGCGACACTTTAAAAGAAACTGTGAAAATTATACCTCAGTTTCTGATACTTGTCCTCCTCGGCATTCCAGATAAACTTCACTCTCTTTACAACAAAATATCGGATCAGGTTTTCATCTCTCTAAAATAGTTAACATAATCATATCTTATTAAGATAAGAAACTATAAAGTGAAAAGTTGTTTCACACAACTCTTTTTATTTGTTAGCATCTATAAATTCCCTAAAATAAATCAAGTAAGAAATCTTTCTCAATATTTTTGAAGCAAATTTCAAATAAAGTATCCTAAAAAAAAAGCAAATTGCATGCTTTGAATTGTATTGAATTGTTCAATGGCAGCTGAGTATGCACAAACAATGACATTATTAGCCTGCATTCTATACAAAGGGAAACAACTTGTCTAAAGAAGATAATAAATATTCCTTACGAGTTGTTTGCCCATTTTTTATATATATTTTTTTTAATTCTATTCTAAGTAAATTGATATTCCAACATCAAAATTTGTCACGTATTTTCTTATCATTGTATAAATTATCACTAACTTTTTGTATAGGTGGTAAAAAATTTCACTCATTAATATTTATAAATATACTACCATTACATGAATTATGCATGCAAGATATATATACTCTACAGTTATGTGCAATACAGAATGCATATTAATTGTACATAAAATGAGCCGCGTCATGACAAAACTAACATAATGGGTTTGCGACCAGCATGAATCCAGACCAACCTGCGCATCCGCGCAGTCTGATCAGGATCCATGCTGTTCACTTACAAACCCAATTACAAGTAAAGAAACTGAAAGTAAACAGCATGGATCCTGATCAGACTGCGCGGATGCGCAGGCTGGTCTGGATCCATGCTGGTCGCAAAGCCATTATGTTGGTTCCTCACTTTTGTTTCATGACAAGTTAATGCCACATCTGCTCTACTAATGTTATATGGCAACTTCAATGGCAACTTTAAATCTGTAAAGGTTAAATGGTGAGTTTTCCCGATATACTGGTACAAATAGACTAAAGAACCCCATTTTTGCATTTATGGCTAGAAGGCATAGAGCAAGGGCGCCTTATAAAAAGTCCAAATTGAATAACCAAAATGGGACTTTTGATTTCAAAAAAATGTATAATTGTCGTTAAAAACCCTTTTTTAAATTTCTAATAGCAATGCTGATGGGCATTCACTTTGCGAATAAAAGTGTCTGTCATTGTATGTCTTAACTGTTTTCAGAAGAATAGATTTATTTGTAGTCTACAGTATTTGAATGAAGAAAAGAAAGTCTATTGAATCTGTCTTAAGTTAGGCTTAAAGTTAGTTTTATGTCCTAGGACTTAGTCTTAGGTTACACTTGGGACTTTCGATGAAATGCAGCCTTGACCTTTTACTTTAGTAGCTAGCTTGATAACTTCCTTCCAAAAAAACATCCAAAGACCCCATCAGGCATCAAACCTACAATGGCTAGGGGCAAGTGATTCTTAGCTAACCACCTTAACCATAGGCCACTTCAGCAGGGAAATGGTTAACTTGATGTATATACAAAGTCATCTGACATTTAACCATAGGCCACTTCACCAGGAAAATGGTTTACTTGATGTATATACAAAGTCATGTGACATTAAACCATAGGACCATAGGCCACTTCAGCAGGGAAATGGTTTACTTGATTTTTAAAAGTCAAGTGACATAAAAAAAACAATGACAAAACATTGACACAAAGTTACAAACACAGGTAATCAGTTCTCTTTGCAATTGTATTTGTGTTAGTGATTTCTAGTGACTGGTAAACAAGGACATAAGGTAAACAAGGACATACAGGTGAACAAAAGGGCAATACACATGAAAACAAGGAAATAGTGTCCAGGTTAAGTTTATTTAGTACCGTCCCACTGATGCTTTCAACTCTGGATTAGATTTCCTCACTGCATACTGTAATCAAAAGTAATGCTAACAATTTTAGACAATGACTAAACCTTACTAAATGAAACACAAACAAAATTCTTTTAATCTCAATGAAATAAAGTCTCCAAAAATTACCATAAGTGACGTTAGACTGATGTCTTTTCAGTAAAAGGGTCTTGATCAAAATAGGCAGTTAGGGCCAATCATTATGACATTGTCCTTTTTGTTGCATTTAAAGTGAATCTGAATATCTAGATATATATGTTTGTTTGATTTGGGTTTTATGTTGCATGGACACAGTATAGGTCATAAGGAGACTTTCCAGATTTACTGGTCGAGGAAGACCTCAGGTGCACTTCCGCGCATTATTTCAGCTTCCTCACATGACAGAATCCAAAGTCCCATGTTATCCTGTTGGGACACTTATCCACAAACGGTGGTTTGAAGTCAACGACCTTAACTACATGTGGATATAGTAAACCTAATTACAAATGTCTATAGATCTAGCTACAGGTACAATAACCTGACTATTTTTATGTAAGAGTTTTATTATACATGTATACCTAAATCATATTTTGTTTTTATCTATTTATACACTGATAAATACAGGTCATTTACCTTTGTCATTACAATACTAAACACATATATAGATCAAGTTGTCGGCCCACTTAGCTCAATAAGGTTAGCATTAGATTTGTTATCCAGGGGTCACTGGTTCCATCCACAAGGGAGGCGAAATTTTTTCCATGACAACTGACCTCTGATATTGAGTCCAGTGGTCATTTCTGTCACGGCTAGTGATAACTTTCCGAGGCATTAATAACTTGACAGTTATAATTGTTACTGGTAGTAATAATTATAATTACTGGATAGTTATCACGGAAAGCCAGTTAAAGTGGACCACTCACTGAGATATGACCACAATTCTTGAATTGTTTAGAAATTCGGGTAAAGCCAGATAAACAGAAAAAATATTGCTCATGTGAATATTAAAGTAAATCCCTTATGCTAACAGTTGAAAACTTTTTATGCATAACTAAAATTATTCTATTTTTGGTTATATACACTTGTAATAGGACATTTTTTTATATTTTTTTTTTTTGAGAATACATGTGCTACAATAAAGTCTCATTCATGATTGCTTAAGTTTCAAAATATTACTCTTGTCATTCATAAAGTAATCTATTTAGAATTCAAACCAGTGACCTGTTATAGTACTGCAGTTTTTCTACAATCAAATATTTATGGTTAACTATTTGGGTGGCTTACTTTAATTAGAACAAGAGCCATGTCAACATGGCCATCCCCTGCCGAATGTGTTTGCTCATTGGAAGAATGTATATGTAGTAGAGCAGAATAATTCCATTTTAAGAGGTCTTTTGGTAATGAAAACTGATGGCTATAGTGATTACAGATTTGAAACCTATGTGAATACTGATGGCTGAAAATAACAAAGGGCAATAACAGAAAAATAATGCAGGGTAGGTTATCATTCTTGTGTGCTGCATCCCTCCTCAGTAAAATCTATCCACCTATGAAGTTTCAAGTTGATACCTCAAATACTTTTTGAGAAAAAAATTGAATTGAAAAATTAAGTATGAAAAATAACAAAGGGCAATAACTCAAAAATTATAAAAGGTACAGTTATCATTCTTGTGCAGTGCACACCTCCTGAATGAGATCTATGCACCTATAAAGTTTCATTTTGATATCTCAAAGGCTTTTTGAGTTATGCTCTGGACAAAAATTAATTTTGAAAAATAACAAAGGGCAATAACTCAAAAATAATGCAGGGCAGAGTTATCATTCTTTAGCACTGCACTCCTCCTCCATGAGATCCATCCACCTATTAAGTTTCAAGTTGATACCTCAAATACTTTTTGAGATAAGCTCTGGACAAAATAGCATGAAAAAAAAAACAAAGGGCAATAACTCAAAAATTGTTTAGGGAAGAGTTTTATCATTCTTGCGCACAACATTCCTACTCAATAAGATCTATCCTTCTATGACATTTCATGTTGATATCTCAAAACACTTTTTGAGTTATGCTCCACTCAGGTGAAAAATTAGGTATGAAAAATAACAAAGGGCAATAACTCAAAAATTATGAAAAGAAGAGTTATCATTCTTGTGCACTGCACACCTCCTGAGTGAGATCTATGCACCTATAAAGTTTCATGTTAATATCTCATAGGCTTTTGGAGTTATGCTCTGGACAAAAATCAATTTTGAAAAATAACAAAGGGCAATAACTCAAAAATCATGCAAGGTAGAGTTATCATTCTTGTGCACTGCACTCCTCCTCAATGAGGTCTATCCAGCTATGAAGTTTCAACTTGATAACTCAAATACTTTTAGAGATATGCTCCGGACGAAAATTTCGGACGGAAGGACGGACGGACGGAAGGACGGACGGACGGAGACTATTTCTATATCCTCCGCCGAAAATTTTCGGCGGGGGATAATAATTATAAAGAGAAGGTCTCTGGATGCAGGTACATGCAGAGTAGCTAATAGCTACATACATACTTTGAATAAGTAATAATCATACATTGTATTCTTGCAAAATTATAATGATTAAGTATTTTCAAAACTGTTTTTTTCTCTTTGCTTTATAATCATTAAAAATTGCGAAGTCCAAAACCATAAAATTTCCTCTTTTAAATGTGAGTACTGTATAAGTAGATATTTCCACGTGAATGAAAGTTAGCAAATTTAAAATTCCAGAATTTTGCACATGGAAATATTAGTGACTCATGCCAACTTAATTGACAAGTTTGTTGATATTTTACCTTAGAGAAAAATTTTAGCAATTCCCATAAATTCAAAAATTTGCCAGTATCTGCGCTTCCCTAACTTAACCACTTACACAGGTATTTGCTGAATGAATTGATCATTACCTATTTCTGGTGCAAAGAAATCATTTGTCATTACTATCAATTCAAACATTTATTAGCTATCACACAAGATAGTATAAACATGCTTTGGAGAAAGAAAAACACACCTGCCCCAGTGATTTAAGAAATAGCTGTGCACGTCTGCGTCTGGACTTGGATGGTATGGAAAATGATACAGATGGTTTTTAGTACTTCAACCCTACAAAAATAATGCCTTTTAAATTGGGAAAAAAAAGCTGATAAATCATAAAAAAACCAAAAATCTTTTTATAAATTTTGGTTGTTTTTTTCATAATTTGGGCCAAAGTAAACATAAAATTTAAGTTGATTTTGGTCACTTATTTTGGGGGTTTTTTGAAAAATTAAAATTTGGGAAAAATTTTTCAAATTTTTTTTGTTAAAATTTGGGGAAAAAAACTTAATTTGAAACCTTTTTTTTTGAAAAAAAGGGCGCTTATTTTTTTGTGTTAAAAAAAAAGTATTTTAAAATTTTGTGTTTGCATGTAAAAATCTCTCCGAGGAAAAGGGAAGATGTTTGGGGTTTTTCCCCTTTTCAAATCAAAAATATAGTTTTAAGCCCTACTTTAGAAATGTTCCATGCTTTCTTTATATTGACATCAGAAAATGTTGTTCTAAAGCT